CTTCTTCGGTTTCATTTACTAGCTAGAGACTTAAAAACATTAACCTCTTCACTTTTAGGGGGAGATCTTGGTTTCTGCATGTGTGATTCTTTTGCTGGGGTTCTTCAGATATCAGAGATGTGAGTGTTTCGTGTGATTTAAAGATTGAACTCACTGCTTGAAACAATTTAGTTATTAACATAGACGAATCAAGTTTGTATGATTGATACTTTCTGATGGAGGAGCAATGTTCTTGTAGTTAGAGTAATGTTATTTGATTGTTGATTTCTTTACTTTTATATGATGACAGTATTGTAGATAGATATGGATCAAATTGTGAACGTGAATGAGTTTCAAGAGCTGGCGAAAAAAGCTCTCCCTAAGATGTACTATGATTTCTATAGCGGAGGAGCAGAGGATCAACACACTCTCAAGGAAAATGAGGAAGCTTTTCGTCGAATCATGTAACTCTTTATATGCTTTTGGTTAGTGTGTGACACTATATCCTTGTGACTCCCAACTTTTATTTGTGTGCTACTTTGATGATGTTCAGGTTTCGGCCTCGAGTTCTCGTTGATGTGAGCAAAATAGATATGTCTACCAAAATATTGGGTTATCCGATCTCAGCTCCGATCATGATTGCTCCAACAGCAAATCATCAGTTGGCTCATCCAGAAGGTCTCTGTTTAGTTTATGTTCATAACTTCTATTAATGGTATATGTCATTGTTTGATTTGGAAATTCATTTGATTTGTTGGATTTGGAAATTCATAGGAGAAACCGCCACTGCAAAAGCTGCAGCTGCGAGTAACACTATCATGGTACTAAGGTGTCTATTGAAATGCATGCTTTCTACTGTTTAGGTATATAGATGTTTTTGCTCTGTATATTACAGATAGTATCATACATGGCTTCATGCACTATTGAGGAGGTTGCTTCCATTTGTAACGCTGTTCGGTTTCTTCAAATATATGTAAGTACACGGTATGGATTTTAGCTGCTTTTGTTATCTCTCTTAAGTGTGCTTCCTTGGTGTAGGCTTCTTAGATCGTTCTGATATCTTTTATAGGTGTACAAGAGGCGCGAAGTAACTGCGCAGATGGTGAAAAGAGCTGAGAAAGCTGGATTCAAGGCCATTGTTCTAACTGTTGATGTTCCTAGACTTGGTAGAAGAGAAGCAGATATAAAGAACAAGTAACATTTTCCATTACTCCGAGATTTATGGAACTTTATCTTCCAGGAATAAGCTTCCCTACTTTGCTCAGTCTAAGAAGTAGTTTGTGAAATGGTCTTTTAACTTCTTACTGTAGAATGATATCCCCAAAGCTTAGGAACTTTGAAGGTTTATTTTCAACCGAAGTCCGACCTGTAAGTGGAGCTTGAATTGAACTTCATGTTAAGTGAAGCCTTACCTGATGTTGACGTGATAACTGTTTCTCAGAGTGAAGGTTCAGGGGTTGAAGCCTTCGCCTCTCGTGCACTTGATGCTTCGTTAAATTGGAAGGTAAAATCTTGTGAGTTGATTCTATTTGTGTCCTTGAACACTAGACAAGAAGTTCCCATGACAATGTGAGGTTATTCCTTATAATCTTTGCATTGCAAAACTTTAGGACATTGAATGGTTAAGATCTATTACAAAGTTGCCAATTCTGGTCAAAGGGATACTCACCCGTGAAGACGGTACGGTTTCTTGTCTCATACTCTGATATATATATAGCATGCATCATACTATATACAAACTCCAAGGCATATGAAAAACATCTTTTGATGATATGGGCAGCTCTTAAAGCTGTTGAAGCCGGTGTAGAGGGAATAGTAGTATCCAACCACGGGGCTCGCCAGCTCGACTATTCCCCAGCCACGATAACTGTTTTAGAAGAGGTAGACTCATCAAAGCTTGCTTTAGAACAAACTTATTCTTCTTCTTAATGGACAAACAAACTGGTATTCTTTTGAAACTGCAGATTGTTCATGTTGTTGGAGGGAGGATTCCGGTTTTGTTTGATGGAGGAGTGAGACGAGGAACCGATGTTTTCAAAGCGCTGGCACTCGGAGCACAAGCTGTTCTTGTAAGCTTTGGATGTTGGGGTTTGAGATTTGGCATATGTTTTTCAAGTTGCTCTCTGTTGATCTAATGACACTATTTGGTTGGATGATGCAGATAGGAAGGCCTATAGTCTTTGGGCTTGCAGCTAACGGTGAAGATGGAGTGAGAAAAGTTATTGACATGTTAAAGAACGAGTTTGAGATCACCATGGCTCTTTCTGGTTGTCCCACCATTAATGACATAACCAGAAGCCATGTTAGGACTCCGGATGAGAGACTTCATTCGATGCTCTGATCTGGTCTATCATGTAGCAGACAGAATATTAGAAGACTAAAGACTAAAACATGAGAGAGTGCATTCAGTTTTTACTCAATCTGTGATGATCATTCAACATACCGATCAATATGTTTTCTGATGAGTTATGTTCTGTTCCAACTTACAAGCAGTGTTTAGTGAATAAAAACGTAAACATAAAGAAAAGCGATAGCTGCAGCATCAGTCTCTAGTACTGCCTAAAAGTCAAATTCAGACGACCTAGTCGGAGACTTGTTTCTTGAACAAGAGCTTTGGGGGAAGTGCATCTTCTCCTTTTGCATCAACTAGGGACTGTGAATCTTTGATTGCTTTCCCAACAAGGTGACTGATTTCAGGAGGAATTTGAGGTGGAATAGAACCATCAATCGGTTGAGGTTCTCCATATTGACCCGTTTCACAGTCCCAATTTTTCCCAAAACACATCATTTTCAAATGCAGTGACCCTCCGTCTCGATAACCTGGTTGATAGAAGCCTCCTTCACCCAAACCAAGCTGAAGGCATTTGTTCACAATCATCACCTACGAGCAATTTCAAAAACAGAAAAAGCACCTACAAGATCAAACAGATAGGCAAACAAATGAAGAAACAGAGTACTTACTTGATCATTGATTGACAAGTAGTTCTTGAGAAGAACCATTCCATGTCTAATGACAATTCCAGTGTACCCTTTACTTGCTTTTCTCTTTGCTCTGTTCAGTCCCCGAGAACCACTAGCTTCGCCGTGATTCATCGCTTTTACTCACAAAAGAATGTAACTTCGGAAACTGACAAGTATAAGCGGAACATGATAAGCCTAAACCATTCGTCGCCATTTTATAGACATATTTTCTGGAGAGAAAAATTGCAACTTTTCAAGAGACGCTTGGGTCTCTGAGTCAGTGAGTCTGAGGAGCATTGGTGTAATTAAAGCTACGTTGGAAAATGTTTTGACGATGATGATGGCTCAGTACGCCTCATCATGAGGTTGAATAGTCCACGTTTTGCAAACCAAAATGTGTTGGTAACCACTCTTCCATAACATCATTCTAAAGAAATACCACCGAAATGTTTTGGAAGGGTTCGTATTGAAACCTTCCTAGTGTTCTTATATCTTTTTGATTTGTCAAATTTATGTTATTTTCATTGTATTTGCAACCCATAACAAGTAGAGTAAACAAATATTACATATCACTTTTGTACAATATTTTTTGACGAAGTTGGC